TTGACAAAATTCAACATCCATTTATGACAAAAAAAAAAAACCACACAAAACTCTCAGAAAGTGGGCATAGGGAACCTAAACATAAAAAAGTCCATATACAACAAATCCACAGCCAATATCTTTCTCAGTGATGAAAAACTGAAAGCATTTTCTGTAAGATCAGGAACAAGAGAATAATGTCCATTCTCATTATTATTCAACATAGCTTTAGAGGTTCTAGATATGGCAATCAAAGAAGAAAAAGAAATAAAAGGTATTCAAATTGGAAAAAAGAAGTAAAACTGTCACTGTTTGCAGATAACATGATACTATGCATGGAAAATTCTAAAGATGCCACCAGAAAACTACTAAAGCTAATCAATGAATTTGGTAAAGTTGAAGAATACAAAATTAATACCCAGAAATTTTGTGCATTCCTATTTGCTAAAAATGAAAGATCAGAAAAAGAAATTAAGGAAATAATCTTATTTATCATTACAACAAAAATAATAAAATACCTAGGAATAAATCTACCCAAAGAGGCAAAATACCTGTACTCAGAAAAAACAAATAAGATACTGGTGAAAGAAATCAAAGACAACAGAAACGGATGGAGAGACCATACCATGTTCTTGAATTGAAAGAATCAATATTGTGAAAATGACTGTGCTTTTCAAAGCAATCTACAGATTCAATGCAATCCCTTTATTATTACCAATGGCATTTTTTCCCCCACAGAAGTGGAACAAAAAATGTTTACAATTTGTATGTAAACACAAGAGACCATGAATAGTCAAAGCAATATTGAGAAAGAAAACTGGAGCTGGAACAATCAGGCTCCTTGACTTCAGACTATACTACAAAGCTACACTAATCAAGACAGTATGGTGCTGCTACAGAGACAGAAATATGGGTCACTGGAACAGGATGGGAAGCCCAGAGATAAACCCATGCATATGGTCATCTAATCTATAACAAAGGAGGCAGCAATATAAAATAGAGAAAAGACAGCCTCTTCAATAAGTGATGCTGGGACGACTAGACAACTACATGTAAGAGAATAAAATTAGAGCACTCCTGAACACCATACACAAAAATAAACTAAAAATGGATTAAAGACCTGAATGTAAGGTCAGACACTATGAAACTGTTAGAGGAATACATAGGTGGAACACTCTATGACATACATTGCAGCAGGATCTTTTTTGACCCATCTTCTAGAGTAGTTAAAATAAAAGCAAAAATAAACAAATGAGACTGAATTAAACTTTAAAAGCTTTAGCACAGCAAAGGAAAGCATAAATAAGACAAAAAGAGAAAAAATAAACCCTCAAAATGTGAGAAAATAATTACAAATGAAACAACAGACAAAAGATTAATCTTCAAAATATACAAACAGTTCATGCAGCTCAATATAAAAGCAAACAAATAAACAACCAATCAAAAAATAGGCAGAAGACCTAAATGGACATTTCTCCAAAGAAGACATACAGATGGGTAACAAACACATGAAAAGATGTTCAGCATTGCTAATTATTAGAGAAATGCAAATCGAAACTACAATGAGATATCACCTCATACCAGTCAGAATGGCCATCATCAAAAAGTAGACAAACAATAAATGCTGGGGAGTGTGTGGTGAGAAAGGAACCCTCTTTCACTGTTGGTGGGAATGTAAATTGATACAGATACTATGGAACACAGTATGGAGGTTCCCTAAAAAATTAAAAACTACCATATGACGCTGCAATCCTACTCCTGGGTATATATCTGGCATATTCAGTTGCTTCAGTCGTGTCTGACTCTTTGTGACCCTATGGGCTGTAGCCCGCCAGGCTCCTCTGTCTGTGGGATTTTTCCCAGCAAGAATACTGGAGTGGGTTGCCATGCCCTCCTCCAGGGGATCTTCCTGACCCAAGGATCGAAACTGCATCTTCTGCGTTGCAGGTAGATTCCTTATGCTGAGCCACCTGGGAATCCTGGGTATACAAGCCCAGGTGGTTGGGCAGCTGCTGTGAAGAGCCAACTCATTGGAAAAGACCCTGATGCTGGGAAAGGTTGAAGGCAGAAGGAGAAGAGGGCAACAGAGGATGAGATGGCTGGATGGCATCACCAATTCACTGGACATGTTCTTAGGCAGTCTGGAAGATGGTGAGGGATGGGGAAGCCTGGCATGCCGCAGTCAATGCGGTCGCCAAGAGTTGGACAGGGCTTGGTGACTAAACAACAACATATAAACAATGGACTAGTACTCAGCTATAAAAAGAAATGAAACTGTACCATTTGCAGAGATATGGGTGGACCTGGAGACTGTCACAGAGACTGAAGTAAGTCCGAAAAACAAATATTTATACACACATATATGAGGAATCTAGAAAAATGGTATAGATGAATTCACATGCAAAGCAGAAATAGAGACACAGATGTATAGACACAAACTTATGGATACCAAGAGGGTAAGAGGGGGTGGGATGGATTGGAATGGACATATATGCATTCTATCTATAAAACTGATAAGCTAATGAGAATTGACTGTATAGCTCAGGGAACTCAGTGCTCTGTGGTGACATAAACGGGAAGAAAATCCAAGAGGGGGTTTATGTATATGTGTAGCTAATTCCCAGGTGGCTCAGTGGTAAAGAATCTGCCTGCCAGTGTAGGAGATGTAAGAGATGTTGGTTTGATCCTTGGATCGGGAAGATCCCCTGGAGGAGGGCATGACTACCCACTCCAGTATTCTTGCCTGGAGAATCTCATGGACAGAGGAGTCTGGCGGGCTGCAGTCCATGGGGCCTCACAGAGGCAGACATGACTGAAGCAAATTAGCAGATGATTCACTTTGCAGAACAGCAGAACTATCAAAATGCTGTAACGCAACAATACTCCAATTAAAAAAAAAGATCAATTAATTTTAAAAAAGAGAATAATCATCTACCAAAGTGAGAGGACAATAAAAAAGTAATGCAATAAAAAAGATTTTAAAAGAAGAAGAAGAAAAGGGAGAGGACAAGGGCACAGCTCACAGATGTATGGCTTGGGGTAGCCCCACCTTGAAGGATGAGACAAGCAGATCTGTGCGTTGCTGGTGCCCTCTGGTGGCCAAATTGGAATCACAGCACATCCCTCTGAGAAACCTTGGTTCTTGGTTCACTTGAAGCACCGTTAACGACCACAAGGACCGTTTGTGACTAGCAGGAAATGGATTTGATCAGGGCTACCTCTTGGTGCAGGTAGCTGGGTGAGGTGGAAAACTCAGGAACTTTGGAGTCAAGGATATATGAATTCAAGCTGTTTTCCCATCACATCTATTTGTACAGGCCGTTCAGTTCAGTCCAGTTCAGTCGCTCAGTTGTGTCCGACTCTTTGCGACCCCATGAATCGCAGCACACTAGGCCTCCCTGTCCATCACCCACTCAGCTTTCCTGAATTTCATTTTCCTGATCTGCAAAATAAGCATAATGGAGGGGGAATATTCCACCCCTGAGAGGCCTTGACCTTGAAATTATTCTCTGCCTCCCCCTTTGACTCTGAGTTTTTGTCGTTTCTCCCTCTGATGCCAAAAGCTTGGCCTCCTGTGCACTGGTGCATGATCAAATCTTGGAAGCAGAGTTTTGGGTGAAGTAGAAACTTGGCACTTTTGGGTGCCAGGCAAAGGCGGACACAGCAGGGTTATGCCCTCAAAAGCAGTGTGTCTTAACCCTGGGGGGTTTGGTGAGGAGTTTTATAACAATGGTTCAAGGGTGGGTTGCTGATAGGGATCAGGGTGTGTATACCTGCGTTTCTTTAATTTGGCCTCAGGGGATCTCTTGAGCTTCTGTGGTTTTCAAGGTTATCAAACTGTGACCTTCTCTCTGGAATGAAGAATGCTTTTTCAAGTAATTAACATCTTCCATTTGTTGGGAGTTTTAGTTCTGCAGAAGAGCTTAGAGATACTGTCATTGGGTGTCCCTTGAGGGAAAACCAGGACCCTTCGTCAAGGCTTCACTATGGCTTCTAGCCTGCTCCTCCCGCGTCTCTGCATCCCCACCCTTCCCTGATGAGCAACTGTCTGAATCTGCCCTTTGGGACTGAGGGAATGTCCTGGAGGCTGCGGTTTATTTCCTATAAATAAGAGCTGCAGGACACAGGAAGGCTTTTGTGCCCAGGAGCCCCACAGGGTCTGGCTTGGTTTCACTCCCACCCACTGTTTAGGACTCACCTTTGTCCTGGGAGTCTTAGTTAGGGAAGGACCCTCCCAGAAGTGCCTGAGAAGACCGAGGGCCACAGTGGGGGCAGCGGTCGGTCTTCCTTCAGACAGACACTGGCCCCTGTACAGCCCCGATCAGGCCTCCACGAGGCCCCCGACCTTGTCCCGGTGGTGGAGGGGTGTCCCATCCCTGCAGCACCTTCCCCTCCCCCCGTTGCTGTCCTCATGAGCCCCCTCTTCCCTTCAGCCCATGCAGTGGCTTCTGTACGGAGAACTGGAAAATTTTATTTCCAAGTGCGCATCGCAATGGTTCTGCTTTATATAATCACTGGCTTTTGAACTTAGAAGGCAGAAACATGTGCTTCTGTTCTCTGATCTCACAATGACTGCCGCCACCTGAAGCACGGAGTGACTCCCAGGAAGCCGTCGGGCTTGGTGTGTGCACAGCCCTCAAGCTGAGAGATATCCCAAGTCAGAGATCAGTAAAAGCACATCACCTGGCCCTTGAAGTCTTGTCACCCTCGTGCTGATGAAAATGCCACCTCCCAGGGGCGCTCTGAGGGCACGTGGGACTTTACAAGGAGAATGGCTGGTACAGGAGGTGGCATTCTTTCCCTTTCCCTAAAAACTAACTCGTTTGATGCACATTTTGTTTTCTACTTGAAAAGAAAGTTTCTTTGGCTATTTTCTCTTTCGGGCTGTTGTCTCTTTTGGGCAAGCGCAGAAAGGCGTGGAAGACACCGGAGGCCGTTAACAGACTGGAAATGTTATCTAGGGACATCTGCACCGGACCAGGCACCGTCCCAGGAGGAGGGGAAGCAGTGGGAACAAACAGTCATCGCTGCACCGCGGAGCTCTCAGTCCCCACGGGCAGTACAGCCGTCCACAAGTAAACACCTAAAACGTGAGGTGGGGAAGGTGCTGTGACGAGCAGCCAAAGGGGCTGGGCCAGGAGGGGGGAAGGACAGCCTCTCTCGTAAGATGACCCATGAGCTGAGGTCTGTGCAGAGTGAGGGGCAGGAACAGGCCGAATCTTTGCTGTCCAGGCGTCCAGCTGTCCAGCGTAGTCCCTGGCGATGGGTTGCTTGTTCATTTAGGTTCTCGTCGGCTCCAGCCGCCTGGCAAGGAGCCCCGCCACGGGCCCGGCACTCTGCAGGGTCTTGGCTCTAGGAGGTCCCAGCTGTGATGCTGGCTTCCTATTCTTGTCGGCAGAAGAGGTCAAGGGCATTCGGAGATGTGTGAGGCGCTGGCGTGGAGGGACGCCTGGCCGGCCGGGAAGGCGGAGGACGGCGCTGAGCCTCCAGCTCCTTCTCGCTGGCTGCTGCTCAGCCTGGGACTCTGTCCACTCTGGGTTTCCCACGGCTGGCTCCTTCGCACCCTTCAGATCTTAACTCAGACGTCACTTCCCCGGAGAGGAGCTCGTCTCAGCCACCCTCGCCGCACCCTCTGCCGCAGCACCTGTTTGGCTTCCCCGGCTGCTCTCAGGAATCCCCAGAAGCTGCACGTGGATGTCAGTCCCGAGGTTTGTCTGTCCTGGTTCTCTCGATCCCCCAGCCCGCAGGGCCACATGCGCATTCACAACGCACATGTGTGGCGTGAAGGAGTATCTTCACCCTGCAGATTCTCAGGCCATCTTAGATTTCCGTTCCCTTCTATAATCTCTCTCCCTCTTTGGGTTCCTTAAACAGTCAGCCATAACTATATAACGGCAAAACGGAAAAATTTGAATAAATAATTCTCCCACTTGAAACCTTTTTTTGAGGACCCTCACTCTTCTTCAGCACACAGCCCAGCTATCTCTTGGGTTATCTGCCAGTTTATCAGCCGCATGTGTTCATGAACATCCTTTCAGCACCCCCGCCCCCCCACCCTCAGACCCTGCCTTGTTACGAATGTTTCATCAATGCATGAATAATTCTAAATGACTACATAATATTCCAGATACATTGCTTGTACCTTCTCTGTGTGAGTGACTGTTTATACTGTGCGCAGGATGGGTAAGAATCTGATTTCTCCTCTCAGATCACCTAGGGAATGATTATTAAGGTTTTTACCAACGGAAAAACTGAGGCTCAGAGAAGTGAAGCCAATTTGTTCAAGGACACACAGCAAGGGTTTAAATCACGTCTGTGCTCTGGACGATGTCATTCAAATCCGGTGGTGGTGTCAGGGACAGTTCATGTGGTCAGTCAGTTCAGTCACTCAGTCATGTCCGACTCTTTGCAACCCCATGGACTGTAGCACACCAGGCCTCCCTGTCCATCGCCAACTCCCAGAGTTTACTCAAACTCATGTCCATTGACTCGGTGATGACAGTTACAGTTAATGTAACCTGCTTCTAATTCTGAGCAGTGGGGTTTGTTCATATTTTGATGTTATAGACCAGTGCCCTCCAAAATGGACACTTGTAATTGGGGTATGTAGGGTGCATGAGATCTATTATAGTAAGCAAAAAAAAAAAAAAAAATCTACTATACTATTAATTTGTATTTCTTTGCATTCCCTCCATAATTCTTAACATTATATACCTTCAAGAACATGCATAATTTACAAGTACTAGAAGGAAAAAATATATAGTGAATGTTTGCATTTTTTTTTGTTTGTTTAACAGATGTGGGTTATGTATGCAAAACATCTTGATGAGGATCTTATACACATAACAGCAGCTTAAGGCAATGATTAAAAAGAAAGGGAAGGCACCAGGAACAGGATATCTACTACATAAAAATCTTTGTGCATTTTTTAGTTTTTCTCTGGGATTTATCAGCAGAAGTCTTGACTGCTCTCTCCCAGATCATGTTCTTAATGTGAGACTCACTGTCCAGCTCAGGAACTACATGTCCAGCTCTCAGGATGGGTACTCCCCTTTCTCCCCATGACAAGCCAGGACACTCAGCAGAGAGATCCCTGGACCAGGCATCAAGTCCTGGGGATCTCTAGACGTATAATCTTGGACCTTCATTCATTCCTCACACCACAGGTTTCCCCAGGATCCTAGTAGGTGCTGGAGCCCGGACTATGCAGGAGGAGCTCCAAGGTGAGCACCACATGACCCAGCCCTCCAGAGCCGGACGCACAGAGACCATTCCAAATAATGTGACTGTGCAGGCATTCCAGGGGGAGAATAAAGGCAACTCTGATGAAATTTTCATGAGGGTTGGGCATATTTCAGAGAAGACTTGCAGAAAAGCTATGCTTGGCCTGGGTCTTGCAGGATGAACAGGTCACCAGATGAACAGTAGGTGTGATGGTTTCTGGGCCAGCACACAAGGGCTTGGCTTACCGAGGAGGGTTGGGGCAACGCTAACTTCCCGTGTTGGATCACTGCTTATGGGGGAAGTGGTCTTGGGGGGTACTTTGGAAGAGCGGGCAGGGCCCAGATCACAGAGGCCTCTGAACATCAAAGGGCTTGACGATCGCTCTGAAGGCTGTGATGAGCTGTGGGAAGGGTAAAGTAGGAGAGTAGCCGTTTAGGTCTAAATCATTTGGGCAATGATGTGGAAAGGGAGAGAAAGGATTTGTTATACAAGCAGAGGCGATCCAAGGAGGCAAGACCAAAGTAGTTAGAGGGAAATGGGGCTGAGGATGTTATGGAGGAAACGAAATTAGTGCGACTTCATGGCTGGCCAGATTCGTTAAGCAAGAGGGGCCCAGGTTGATTTCAAGGATGTGACTTGGCGGGTAGTAGTATTATCGACCAAGATAGGCACTAAGGAGAAAGACCTGACCTGTAGAGAAACTATTATATTTGAAAAGAAATATTCAAAAGGCAACTGGTGATATGGGTCTGGACATCAGAGATAAGAACTTGCTGGGGATGGGTGGTCTTGGAACTCATTAGCTTAAAGAGGGTTTGGAGAGTCCCAGGAATATCTAAGAGGACAAATAGCCTTGGCTGATAGCATTTGCTGATTGCAGCAAATGCTGCAATTGTTAAGAGCTTTGTAAATTGTGAGAGCTTTGTAAAATTGTAAATATTCAAGCTACCAATGGATCACTGAATGCAGAGCTGGGTTTGATGCCTACCGTCTGCTCTTGTGAGCTGGGATGAGCCAGCTGGACACATAGCAACGGTCACACCTCAAGTATGGTGAAATCTCTCATCTGCTGGAAGCCTGTGGGATTTTCTCCATAGCTCATCCAGTGAATTGTGTGTGTCTCCGGTGTGTGCTTCCACGTGATGCAATATCAGTGAACGGATGGGGACTTTGTTTTTGCTGCATCACTGCAGAATGTACAGACCCCTCCCCCTGCTTCTTGGTGACCCCAGGCAGGCTCTGCTGTGTCTACAGGAATCTGGGAGCCACCTCCCAGGGAAGGCTTTTCCCCAGGGCCCCACCTACGGAGCCTCCAAAGCTCCCAGAGTTTCCAAGTGGCCCTGACCCAATTTCAAGTTCTCCCATGCCTTACTCCAGCACAGGGAAGTCTACTTTTTGTTTCCATGTTGCTGAGGAAAAAGGTTGAAGCTCTTAACACAATTGTAAAGTCATAGCAGCACAGCATTTTCACCCCTTAGCCTTTTGTCTCTTTTGATCAAATTGTGCCAAATTCAAGAGGCCTTTTTCTGGGCTTTTCATTGTCACTTTGTCAAGCCTCCCTGTCTCGTTTGCTCTTCTTTTGAAAGTTACAATTCCTCAGACACCAGTGCAGGCTTCAGTTGCTGTCACGGGGAGCAAGGCATCTGCTCTGCTTAGTAAGGCTCAGAAGATGAGGGTGATGGGAAGAGGAGGAGCTGGGATGGTGTGCTGTGGGGGGATGGGGAGTGAATGAGGAGTGCTGCTAATCAGGGCAGAGAAGCCTCAGCTCTTCCCCATCAAAGGCCATGAAGCAGAGCAGAGGGAAGGGGACTTGGGGACTAGAGAGCCCTGGGATCAGTCCCTTTCTTCTCTGTGGCCTTGGACAAATGGTTTCAAGGCTCTGAGCCTGTTTCCCAATTTGCACAACTGAATAGCTACGTCATGGGGGTGTTCTGAGGATGAGAAAAGGGCGCTGCAAAGCTCTGGGCTCAGTGTCTGGCATGTGGGACGTTCCTGTCAAGTGAGACTGAATATATAGCAAGTCACAAAAGCAGGCAGTAGCTGGGGGTCTCGTCAGGGGCTCAGCCGTGTGGAGGAGATCTGAGAGGGGCTAGACTCAGGGTGAGCAGCAGCCGTGGGTGACCCGTCTGGGCCTCAAGTGACCAGGCTGTGAGTGTGGGGAGGGGCCCAGCTCCCAGGAGAACACACTTTTTGGTGCTTGTTCATGGAAACAGTAAAAGCAGCCCCTGGGACTGAGTGATAGAGCAAAATGGGCTTGCTATGACTTCTCAAATGCCTCGTTTTTTGTCTTCCTGGTTAGAAAAGTATGTCCAGGTGTAGAAATCATGGGGAATACAAAATATAAAGAAAGAGAAAATTTACCTTAAAAGACAGAGGAAAATGGTACTTAGACTTTTTATTCAATGTACACACATGTATATTTTTAAAAATATGTCTTTGGCTACATATTATATATGTAGTTGTAGTTGTACAACGGGAACAGTTGTTCCTGATTTTTTCTTGTTTTACTCAGTATTACATCAGCAAACACTTGTTCTTGTCATCTCATAGTTGCTTTAAAGATGTTTCTAGTTACTGTCCAATATTCTGTTCTAAAACACTGTTGATTTGTTTTTCAGCTATTTCCGTTTGCCTCTACCTTTAAAAATAATGCTTAGAGGAGAATTCTCGTAGCTGAGACTTTGTCCCTGAGATTAGTTCCTGTTACAGGCTGAATGTTTGCATTTGCCTACTGCCCCCTCCCCCCCAACCCCTGCGCCCCTTCTCAACTCAATGAAAATGAAACCAAATCAACTACAACAGGACCTTTGGAAATTAGGTCATGGGGGTGGAGCCCTCATGAATGGGATTAGTGCCCTTATAAGAAAAAGTATGAGAGAGCTTCCTTCCTATCCCTGCTATGCAAGGATACAGTAAAAAGAAGACCATCTGAAAATCAGGAAGCAGGCCCCCACCAGACGCCAAATCTGCCAGCACCTTGATCTTGATCTTCCCCGCCTCCAGAACTGTGAGAAATCAAAGTGTGTTGAAGTCTCCCAGTCTATAGTAACTGGTT